GAGGAAATGCCAGGAGAGGAACAGAAGCCTGGAACAGCAAAGAGACACTTGACCGTCAGGAAATGAGGCTCAACAGAAAATGACTGTGAACAGGGCGCCGGCCGGGCTCTGCCCTACCTGAGTCATCTTCTCTCTGTTGGCCTTGGGGTTCAGGGGGGCCTCCGTCAGCAGCACCGGGTGCTCCTCGGGGGCCACGCGCAGCTCATTGTAGAAGGTATGGTGCCAGATCTTCTCCATGTCGTCCCAGTTGGTGACGATGCCGTGCTCGATGGGGTACTTCAGGGTCAGGATGCCACGCTTGCTCTGGGCCTCGTCACCCACGTACGAGTCCTTCTGGCCCATGCCCACCATCACGCCCTGCAAGGGAAGGCGTCAGGCTTCTGTCCTGCCGCGCACGGGGTGCACAAGGGAGGACCCGGGGGCCTCGACTCACCTGGTGGCGGGGGCGCCCCACGATGGAGGGGAACACGGCCCGGGGGGCGTCGTCGCCGGCAAAGCCAGCTTTGCACATGCCGGAGCCATTGTCAATGACGAGCGCGGCGATTTCCTCTTCCATGGCGATCTGCTCAGAGATGTGACTCATTCAGGGGACCCTCGCGCTCAGGAACGGCCCCTCCCCAAAGGAGGACAGTCGGCCTTCCGCCCCAGACTCGCAGGGCGGGAGCCGGGGAGCAGCAACCGTCCACAACCGGCGGCGGCGGCGCGGAGGGTCCGCACTGCGCCGCCCCGCCCCGCCCCGCCCCGCCCGCGGGCGCCGGCCTGGCCCGCGCCTTTGTTCCCGCGGGCGGAGCCGCCGGGGCTCCCGGGCGGCGAGCAGGCTCCCGGAGGAGCGGGAGCGGGGTCGGGGCGCGGGGACGCGGGGCGCGGGGACGCGGGCCGCTTACCGGCGGAGGACGGACGGCGGAGCAGCGAGAGAACGCGGAGCGCGGGCCGGCGGCAGCGAGTGAGACCCAGCRCGGCCTCCCCCGCCGGTACTTAAGCGAGCGCGGGGCGCGCGCGGCCCCAGAACATGTCCATATATGGCGATCTTTCCGAAAGCCGGGCGCCCATTGGCCCGCCCGCCTGGGACACGTGGGGCCCCGGCCCGGCCCGCGCCGCCGCCGCCAACCGCCCCGCCCGCGCCGCCCCCGCGCGCCCGCGACCCTGCGCGGGCCGGGCCGGCCTCCGGGGGTCGCGGGGAGGGCGCGGCGCGGAGGACCGGCAGGCCCCGCCCCGGGACTGCCGCACCGCGGGGAGGGCCGGCTGCGCACCGAAACTGCCGGGTCCCGGGCGGGCCGCGCCCCGAGCTGGGGTGAGTCCCTGCGGCTCCGGGCCCGCGGGGGCCCTTGAGCCCCTGACGCCCCCACGAGCTTCCCCAGCTGGGTCCGCGGAGGGCCTGGGTCGCGAAGGCCGGCGCCCTTGGGGGGTAGTGGGTGGGCGTCCCCAGGCCCGCGGAGCCGGCGCCCGTCGTGGTCGCTGGGAGGGGCCGCCCGTCCCGGCGCAGCACGACCGCGGCGGCCCTCCGCTGGAGGAGGGGGCGCCCAGGCCGCAGGTCCCGCGGGCCCGAGACGCGGACGCCGCCCAGGATTGGGGTCTCGCCACCCCTCTTCCTCGTAGGAGGTGGTGTGGCGGGCGCTTTGTTTCGTTTTGGTCACCTGTGGACATTCCAGGGAAATGAGGCGAGGAAGGAACCCTGACTTTCTAACTGTCGGCCTCCCTCCGTTCCTAGGCCAGACCTGAGGTCGGAACCGGAGTGGGCTTGGGCACAGAGCGTATCGACCCTAGGAACCCAGGTCGGGGAACCTGTCACCTTTGGCAGCGCCCTGGCCGCACCTGCCGGCGTGTGCCCTTGGTTATCCCGGGAGGGGGAGCGGGCCCTGTGGTTTCTGCGGGCTTACTCGTAAGCTTCTGGAAAGGTTTCGGGTAGAATTAACCAGCCTGGCGGCAGGGGAGAGCGCTGGGGGAGGAGCCGGCAGTGGCGCGGGGGACTAGCTCAAGGTCACGGGGCGCTCGGCCCGACCGGACAGGTAGGGGGCGGGGTCGGGCTCCCCGGGAAGGTTCCACACTCGCTGTCTCTGGGCCACTTCGGCCCTGCAAGGTCGACTCGTGCCCCCCCACCCCCCGCGTACCCGGGACTCGGGTCCCAGCAGCAGCGCGGCTCACCGCTGGCCGGAAGACCCTCGCGGACGGCCACCATGCCTAGCAGGGAGCTGCTGAGTGTGCGAACCCTCAGATTTTCCAGGGGCACCCGCAAGACTACAAAGTGTGCCCCACCCACGGGAGGACGCGGGGTGGACTTCCAGAAAACCCACTCTGACTGGGGTCGCCGGGCAGAGCCGCGCGCCCGCTGACCCGCGCTGAGGCCTTTCACTGACAGGGACCTAATATGCAGTGTCACACCAGAGCCATGGGGAGGTGGGAGGTAGCCCCAAGTTCGGCCGGGGAGCACCTGCGTGGCCTGGGACCCCCGCCTCCTGCCGGACACCTTTRCGCATGTGCTGGCGCGGCTCCAGGCGACCTCTGCCCCGCCACGCCCGCCCTCTGCCCACCTGCGGGCGGCGAGGGGTCGGGCACTGGCCGTTCCCTTCGGGGCCGCCTGCCCCTCCCTTCCTCTCTCCCGGGCGCGCCCCGCTGCGGAGCCCAGGTGTGGCCCAGGTGTGCGGGCGGGCGAGGGGGGGGGGAGGTGGAGGCTCGCCGCGCGGCCATATTTGGCAAAGTCGGCCCGTGCCCCGCCCGTCGCCTGGAGGTCCGCGGCCACCCTGAGTCACCGGGCGGACGTAACGGACGGGGCACCCGACTGCTCCTCGCCTTATTTAGTCAAGCAGGCCGCCCATTGGCCCGCGGGACAAAGGGCGTCGGCGGGGAAGCCCGAGAGTGGGCAGACAGCCCCCAGCCCACCCAGCCCTGCGCGTGCCCGCGACCCTCAGCGGAGCGGGAGCGGGAGGGTCTGCAAGCTGAGGGCCCGCACCTAGCCAGGGAGGTGCCGTGTGTGCACTGATTTTTTTGTTTTGTAGCTGGGCAGAGACCTCGCCCAAGTTCACGCCGGCCCGTTCTGGACTGTGCTCTGGAAGAGGTGGTGCCGGAATCCCCTACCCCTACTGGAGCTGGACCGTCTGGGGACGGGACCTTGTAGATGTGGCAGCCCCTGGCTTCAGTGAGCTGGGAGGCCCCGGGCAGCAATTCCACTTCTGCCAGAAGTGGGTGTGTCTTCCCATTGTGGGGAGGAAGATGGGCTCAGAGAAATGTTGTGATTTATTTTTGTAGTTCAGTGCTGATTTTAGTGGCTTTCTATTGTGACCTTGCAGTAACTCATTTCATATTTCACCCATGTGGTGGATGAGAAAGCAGTGGCCTGGGAGGTGGCCTCTCCTTACCCCAGGGAGTGTGGCAAAGGTGGGACAGCCCAGGCAGGGCCTGCTGCGTCTGGGTCCTTCCTTTGTGTTCCTCTGCACCGGCTCAGCTCCTCATCTCCCCGCCTCAGCCTTCAGGGATTCTCCCTGGACTCCAGGCCACCTCCGCCCTACCCGTGCCCAGCACTCACCCCGTGCTGGCACCTCTAACCACCTCCCAATTGGCTGGTTTCTTGTTGGGCAGACAGCAGGGAACTTGGTAATGAGATGCCACCCCCAGCCTTTGCCTCTTGGTGAGTGCCTTTCCTTCTTCCACCCCGTSCAGCGGCTCAATAGGGAAGACACTGGAGGAGCTGGGAGACCAAGTGAAGCCTGGCGTTTAAGAGTAAGTCCTTGTTAACTCCCAGCTGGGGCAGTCACTCTGCCTTTGCAACTCTCCTGTAAATCTTCAGTTTTTTCCTCAATAAAATAAGTTTTTAAAAACCCAGGAAGTTGGCCTTTATCTGCTCTTGACTGACTTCCAGTTCTTGCAGGCCTTTGCAGCAGACCAAAAGTAACACCATGCTCCTGTTTCCTAAAGCCTTTCCAGGGTCCTCTCACAGCGCTAATAGGGACCAGGGCAGTTGGGCTCTGCCTGTTTGGAACAGTGACCCCAAGGGCTGCCCTGGTGGACAAGGCCATGGTCACTCACTTCTGCCCCCTGGGTCCAGCAGGGGCTCCATTCTCCTGCCAGGACTGCCCAGACTGAAGCCCAGAGGGTCCTGCCGCTAGAGGTCTCTGCATTCTGGAGGCTGAGAGTTGAGTGGATGTTGTGAGTCTGTCTGTCCAGGGCCAGGAGGCATGGGCTGGGCCTCTGTTCCAGCCACCTGTGGAGGCTCTGAGACTGTGCTTAACAGGCTCTTGGCTCAAAGAAGTGAGCCAGACAGGGCACGTCACCTCGTTGGAGGTCAGAGGTTATGGAGGGCTCTGTGGGCACCCCACATGAAGTCTGAGTCCAGGCCTTGGAGGACAGAGTGCCCATTGGAGTTTATCCAGGGGTCCCAACTCCACACTGATGCCACAGGATCCAAGAAGGCCCTAGAAGAACCCTGGGCTGGGAGTCAGGACACCTCAGCTCCATGAGCGCGTGTGGCCCATCAGGGGCTTGAGGCAGGGGGTCTTCCTGCATGGTGAGAGGTCTGCACAAAGGCCATGAGGTGACCCCGAGAACCCTCCCCAAGCCTCCAGCCTTGCTGTCCCCAGGCTCTGTGTTCTCAGTGATGAGTTGGCACTTAGCACCTCCACATCAGACCTGAGCCTGGAACAGAGCCAGCTCCTCAGGCTGCTTTCAGGGTCACACCTCCAGGGTCAGCTGCTGCCCCCAAAGAGGATGGTTCACTCCTGGGGCTTCTCTGTTGGCCTCACAGAGCGCCTCAGTTGCCCTAAAATTGTTCACTCCTCACTTAGTTGCTGCGTGCACTTGGTAAGTAGGTACTACCCAGAATGATTGGGAGGAAGTCACCTTGTCCCCTTCCCAGCCCTCGCCCCAGAGGCAAGCACTATCCATACGTGGCATCTCCACCTCTGCTGGGACCGTAACTGCGGGCCACAACAGGAGGCCCAGCCTCCAACGKCTGAACCCCACATTCTCCGCTTTCAGCACATGATTCACGACAGAAGCCAGCACGCGTGTGCGCACACACTCACACACACACACACATGCACGCACGCACGCACACTCACCCTCTTGCCCGCTTCTCGACTTGCCTTTTCTGTCTACCTGTTCCTCCCACAGCAGGCTGGGCCCTGCCACCTACCCCTGTTTCTCCACAATCAATCTCCCTGTGGGGACTCAGAACCCAGCTCCTCCCTGGCCGGTCACTGCCTCCACACACCACTGTACCTGCTCACTGCCCTCTGGCCCCTAAGCCCTTCCCATTGGCTCCCTCCTCCCTACAGGCCCTGTACCATCCCGTGGTGCTTCTGTGTCCCCACTCCTTCCCGCAGTACTTCTTGGGGGCACAGCAGCCCTGTCCTTGGTGAAACTGGGGTCTGTACCCCAAACAGTGCCAATATGTGGGTGAGAAGCCCAGGTGGAGGCTGATGAAGAGGAAGTCAGGCAGAGGGGCTGGGGAGACAAGGGAGTGGGGGGCGGGTTCAGCAGAACCCCTTCCTGACCCCTGGCTGCACAGGGAGGGTGTGGTTCTTGGGCTGGAAGAGGAGTCCCAGGCTTGACTCTTCCCAGGGACCCTCTTCCTGGCCCGCAGGGGTGGTTCTGCTCAGCCAGTCACACAGGCAGGCTGGATTGCAGGGGACATGGGTGGAGGGATACAGGAGGCTCACGGCTGACCTTTCTGACATCCTACTCTGGCATGGGCTACATGGAGCTCTCCCAAGGAGACAGCAAAGCTAGACTAGGCACCCCACACCTGCTAGGATGCCTAGCACCAGGCTGAGCAAGGCAAGGGAGGGTGCTGCTCTGAATGCCCTGTAGCCACTGGCCACCAGCCCAAGGGTTGCCGCTGATGGGCACAGTGTTGGGAGGTGGGGGCCAGGCTGAGGTCACTCGGAGCGCACTGGCCTGGGCTGCCCCTTCCCCTGTCCCAGCCCAGATCTCACCTGCTTGGAAACCTCAAGGGATGTGGCCAGGCGGGCCCTGCAGGCAGCGGTGGACAGTATTGCTCTCAGCCCCAGAGGGTCTGGCCTGCATGATGCAGATAGAGGCCTGGGTGAGCCCTCCGTCTGCCTGTAGCCGAGGCTGCACTCGGTAACTTATACCGGGACTATGCAGGGTTTGTGGAGCAACACCAGCGGCATGTCCTYGTGGGCTGCCCCACTAGCGGGATCCTGGTCCTCCATGCTCAAGCTCTCAGCTGCTCCCTTTGAGGTCACCTGGGGAAACAGCTGTTCCTGGAGGACATGGTGGATACCACCAGCAAAATCCATGGGCGGCGGGGGTTGTGTGGTGCGCCTGCCAGAAAAGACGCAAACTGGGGCCCTGAGGCCTGGCGGCCCCTGAGGGCCACCACTGCTGCAGCCCGCTGCCCCGGCCCTCGTCCCCTCTCCCGCACCCTTGGCTGTCGGCCAGACGAGGTGCAGGCGAGCTCGGCCGGGGCTGGGGACCTCTGCTTCCTGGGATCAGGCACCTGGGGCCTGTCGGCGGCCAGGGGGCACAGGGCTCGCGGGCACTCTGCCCACAGCTCTCCTGTCGGGCACAGACTGGGAGTTGAGATGCTTCCCAGAGCACGAGATTGCAGCCAGGGGCCAGCAGATGGCGCCCCCGCCATGGGCCCTGAGGAGGACCCAGCTGGGGCTGGCGGGTGTCATTCCCAGGTGGGCCGCCAGGCGGGTCCCGCCATCGCCTTGGGGCAGCCAGGCATGGAGCAGGGACCCCGCGGCCACTGGCAGGGCTCGGGCGGGGCTGCGATCCTGGCTGGCCGCTGAGTCAGTCGCCACCCGCCGCCCGGGTGACCGAGGCAAGGTGGCAGGGGGAGCGGCAGGCAGCGGCCGTGACCTCAGCCAGTGCTGACTCGAGAAGGAGGGGCCGGGGTCAGCCCGCATCCACTTGGACTCAGTGCCAGGCAGGGCCAGCCCACCCGAGGTCCCGAGGGCCCACTGAGGAGCTCCAGGGCGTGGCGGCCGGCCCGGGCCTGGTGTGTGTGTGGCTGGCACAGGGAGCTCGGCCTTAGGGGCACCACGGGTCATTTAGGCCGCTCTGCCCTCCAGCAGAGGGCCCCTGATGACCACCATTTCCGGTGGCACAGCAGGGAAAGGTGGACTGGAGGGGCGGGGCTCAGGGCGCTCAGCTCCCACCCAGACCCAGCTGCTGGGTTTTCTTCTCCCCCCTTGTCTTTTTTGGGGGAAGGCTTTCCCCTTGACCTCTAGCCTTCTGGTGGAATTTTTCATTTCATTTATTATAGTTTTAACCTTATTGTTTGGAAATAATTCCAGACTTATCTGGTTTTAAACATTTTGCAACACTTAATCATTCTCTTTGTCTCTGTTTCTGAGCCATAAGGGAGTAGGCTGCAGGCAGGAAGCCCTTAGCAGTTCAGTTCTCCCTAACAAGGCATTGTGCCATCTAAATAATGGCACAGGCATCAAAGGCAGGTGGACCTCAGTCTAGCAGGGCTCCCTCTGCAGCCTGTGCTTCAGTGACAGCCTTATCCCTGCAATGTAGCCTTTTCTCCGGAATCATGTATTGCATTTTATTGTCATAAACTCTCATGTTTTTAATTCCCCAGGCCTCAGTGTTCTCTGGACTGTTTATGACATTAACTGTAGGTGATGAGACTTTCTTGGAAAGCAGACCATCGCACACATGTGGGGCTGAGAAATGAGGCACACGCCATGGGCACCATGACAGATCATGACAGTGACCAGGCTCAGGACCTTTGTCACCCTTTTCCAGTGAATGGTTCATGTCTGTCTTGTCCCAGAAGTCAGAGGCAGGGCTGATTCCCTCGTGAATCCTCAGCTGGTTTCTGGCACACAGCAGGTGCTTGCTAAGTGCCAGTCGGTCTGAGATGGGAGTCTGGCTCTGGTGGGTGAGCTGAGCCTCTGCAGATGGAGGAGGCACTCTGTGTCTGGCCATATCTGTGTCTGTGTGAGCGTGCCTGTGTGTGTGCTCATGTGTGCAGATGCACAGATGCACAGGGGCTGCACTGCCCGGGCACAGCTTCGAGCTCATGGCTGTGCACAGTGGGTGTAGACACACCTGTGCTGTGCACTTCTGTGTCTGTGACACCCGATGGGGAGGAACAACCATGTTCCTCTGGCTGGGGATCTGGTCCTCACTCATGCCTCATGCAGCCAGGGGCTTATGCTTACTACCCCTGTGAATGCCCCCTCCCGCCCCATAACGTATGCAACAGGTCCTAGGGTTGCACTGAAGGATCACCCTGTGACATGGGTGGCTGGGCTTGCTGAGACACCCGCAGTCCTTCCCTTGTGCTCCCTCTGGAGACCCTTAGCCTTGCTGGGCCTCAGGTTTTCTAGCAGAACCCAGAGGCCTCTGGTCTCCCCTCCCCGTTTCCTGACCTCTGCAGGTGCTCTTCCCCATGGCAACCTGGTGGTTTACAGGAGACTGCAAAGCTCTTGCTGGGGGGGGGGGCAGTAACAGATCCTTGAGTAGCTTCTGTGAGCAATGCTGGGATGGAGACCAGGGCCTTGGGCTCGACCACTGAACTACACCCTGCAAAGCAGCTCTTTCCTTGAGCCGCCCTGCCAGGGGGTGTGGGGTGGAGGGGAGGATGTGCACACTGCCCGGTGGGTGTGCAGCTTGGGAGTCTGGGGAGCCCCCTCCCCATACTCTTCATTCCAACACAGACCCCCCTGCCGAGCAAACCTGTCACTCTAAACCAGGCCTTCAGCCTCAGTAAACCTACCCAGGCCAGAGTCAGAGAAGCCCGGCCCGTGCTGGCCCTGTAAGTAGAACTGCGGTGCAGAGAGCTCAGCCATGAAAAAATCATGAGGCCACAAGCAGGCGGCTGCTTCAGGAGCAGCCCTGGAGCCAGCCCTGGGCGCCTGCCAAGCCAGACCCTGGCGGCAGGGAAGAGGTGACAGGACCCAGGGGTGAAGAAGTCAGAGCCTGGGGACAGAAGGCCAAGGGGATGCCAAAGGTCCAGCAGGGGCTGACCATGGGTCAGGGCAGAGAGGCCGACCAGAACAGCAGAGGTGGGGCCTGGGAAGTGGGTGGGGAGCTGGGCTCTCCCCGGTGTCTGCAGGGAGGGCCCTGGGGCTGTGAAAGGCCACCCTCAGCCAAAAGGCTCCAGGCCAGTGGAGGAGGGCACCGCCCCTTCCCAGCACACACAGGCCCTCGCCAGCTCACACCAACAGCATCAGCGTGGCCCGGGCACCCAGCCTGGTGCACGTGCTGGTCGCCATGGCTTCAGGCAGCCTGCTGGCAGGGGTCCAGGCTGGGCTCTGGTTGTGTAGGCTGGGTCCAAATGAGGTGGTGAGTGTCTGTCCTCTGCTGGTCCCAGGGAGGAGAGGAGAAGGAGACCCTAGAGTGACAGGGCAGCTCACCTCCCAGCCTCCTGGGARAGAACGGGTTTCCTGAAAGCTCCAGGGTGGGCACCAGAGGCCTGGGGGCAGCAAAGCTCTCTGCTCCTAGCCCAGCTGGACCCTCACTGAGGGGCAGGGCTGAGGCTCAGGCCTGACCTTGTCTGCCAGGGGATCCAACATCTGAAGCGGTCCCTACCTTCCGGAGGGTCCATTGACCACACCCACCCACCACCAGCTGCTCACTGTAGTAGGGGGTGGGGGCRCCACCCACCCAAATGACCTCCTAGCACCCATCAGGGAGAGGTGCCCCTCCCTCAAGACAGACATTTAAGATGGGACATCAGGTGGCCTGACCTTCTGTGTCCAGGCTCAGTGCAGCCGCCACCTGTGGCCACACACTTGGGCCACTGTCTTCCTTCTGGGCTTAGAGGTAGGTGGTGCCGGGGAACAGGGCTCCCAAATGCCAGTACATTTGGACATCTCCAGAGCCCAGCCAGGACAGGCCTCAGGGCAGACATATGTGTGCGCTCCTGGTGGGGTGCTGTGAAGGGAAGCCGGAGGACCCAGGCCAGGCCTGCGGTGGGCTCCTGAGTGCAGGGTACATCTGGGCTGTGACTGGCACCCTATACAGGGGTGCCTTTGAGGGCTGGGGTTGTGGCTCAGCGGTAGAGCACTTGTCTTGCACGTGAGAGGCCCTGGTTCAATGCTCAGCACCACATAAGAAATAAAATAAAATAAAAGTATTGTGCCCATCTACAACTAAAAAATAATTTTTTAATAAAAAAAAGAGGTGCCCTTGAGCAGTGCACAATCTGATCACCCTGAGCAGCACTGAGGGGGTTCTAAGGCTGGGGTCCACAGCAGCATCTCCAGAGGCTGAACCGGATTAGCAGGTGACAGCCAGGCCCAGCCCCCACCTCAGGGCATCTGCACACAGAGACTTGCATGTCCAACGCCGCATCTTTCTGCAGAGGCTCAGCCCACTGCACAAGAAACAGACCCCCATGTTGAACAGTCTCAGGCACACTACTGCCTGTGAGCACCTACTGTGTGCCTGAAAACTTGCTGGGACCCAGAAGGAAGCTCTCCCCTATCCAGGAGCTGACCAGAGCCTCGGGGCTGTGTGAAGGCTGGTGTGGAGGACCTGGCGAACTGCCTCCCTCTATGGAAGTGCCCCGCCCCTGGGACCCAGCGGTCCCCTTGGCTAGCACACCTGGATCTGTGCCAATAGCCCCACCCCTTCTGAAGCTGTGGGCCACATCACGGAGGAGCCACTGCCGCTTCTGGCCCTGCCATCCAGAGGCTGCCCAGAGCCGAGCTGCTTAGTGCCTGGCCACCGGGCTTCCTCCCCATGCTGGAGGGCCTGCCAGCACCTGTCAGTGCCGATGAGGCCTTCCTGTCCATCAGAAGGACGGGGCCCCCCAGTTCCCTTTGCACCTGGCTGAGGCCAGGGACTGCGGAGGAGCAGCCAGTGTCCACGCCTGGAGGACACAGTGGACATGGCTTCCCCAAGCCCCACACACACAAACCAAGCTGTACCCTTGGGACCTGAGGGGAGGCTGGGGTGTGGGCATGGTGGGGGTGCCTGGCCACACAGCCAGGGCCTCGAGATACCTGTGGCCCACGGGGTGGCCAAGTTGGCCTGCAGGGAGGGTGCAGACAGAGGATTTGCACTTGACAGTCCCTCCATGAACCACCCCTGACGCCCTAACAGTGGACTGCTGTGCCTGGCTGCCCTGTGTGGAGCCACAATGGCCACTCAAGGGATGGAGGGCCAGGAGGACAGTGGAGGGACTGGGCACCGTGGCTGGAAGTCCTCACCACCCTGTTCCTGGTCCCCAGGGAGACCTGAGGGTCACACGCTGTCATAAGGAAGAGGACACCAGGTCTGGACCCGGCCCAGGGTGGGCAGCTCCGGTTCCTTCCTTGGCACCTGGCCCTTGAGGCAGGTGCAGGAGACAGGCCTGGCTGAGCAGGGCCAGCCCGTGGGTCCCCTGCTGGCCAGACACCAAGGGAACAGAGTCTCTAAAGACCCATCAGGCCAGTCACCCTGGTGATTCAAGTGGCAGTTACAGGGTCCCCAAGGCCACCCTGCAGGTCTGTGGGAGGCCACATGAGGAGGGAGGGGAGCAGCCTCATGGCTCCAAGACCTGCCCAGGGCACTTGGAAGCCACACAGGCCGGGCCGCTGACCACAGGACAGGGGAGCTCCTGCTCGAACACTCCTCCCTAAGGGTGACTGGCTCCCCTGGTGCAGGCTGCTCCGGAGGGCAGTGCGCCTGTGCTGGCCCTGCCACTGGCACTCACACCCTCCTGCCACCTCCAGGCCACCCACAGGGAGAGCCGGGCCCCAGGACTGCAGGCTGGGGTGCGAGCAGGGCAGCCCAGGACGCGCTGTAGGCCACTGGGTGGGGAGCCTGCCTGGGGGGGCTCTGGGCTCCTGGCAGCAAGAGTCAGAGGAGCAGTAACTGGATCCTGCCGCGGATCTGGTGGCCCTGCGGCGGGGGCTGCGATCGGGTTGCGCCTGTGCCGTGGGCTTCCACGGGTGCCCTTTCTGCTTTGGGAAGGAGCTGCGCGGCTGGGAGCACTCGCTGCGAGTCCGAGGGGCCTTGAGGTGGCAGCAGGAAGGTGAGAGGCCAAGAGGTACGGGCACAGGGCCCTGGACTTGGGCCCTAGCAGCCGTGGGAGAAGATAAGGTGGGGGAGCCTGTGTCCAGTCCTGCCGGGCACTGCTCCAGCCCCGTGTCAGCCAGGAAAGGCTGCAGTCCAGGCTGGGGTAATGAACCGCCACTAAGCCGGCACGTTCCTGATCCGTCCTCCCCACCCGCCCTCTGCTRCCCACTGGCCACGTAAGAGCTGCCTGGGTGGCCGAGCCACTGGTCAGACAGTGCTGCAGCAGGTAGTGGGGTCCATGACGACAGCAGGCCCTGGGGGCCAAAGGCCAGTGGAGCAGAGCTGGGCCTCTGGGAGGCCCCAGGACCTGTGAGCACTCAGAGGGAGCTTCCCCAGCCTGCAAGGCCTGGCCTGCCTGGAAGATGCCCACCAACGGCCTGCACCAGGTGCTCAAGATCCAGTTTGGCCTGGTCAATGATACTGACCGCTACCTGACAGCGGAGAGCTTTGGCTTCAAGGTCAATGCCTCGGCACCCAGCCTCAAGAGGAAGCAGATGTGGGTGCTGGAGCCCGACCCGGGGCAGGGCCCGGCCGTGCTGTTCCGCAGCAGCCACCTGGGCCGCTACCTGTCAGCAGAAGAGGACGGCAGCGTGGGCTGTGGAGCAGAGCGGCCGGGCCCTGACTGCCGCTTCCTGGTGTTGCCCCAGCCCGATGGGCGCTGGGTGCTCCAGTCAGAGCCACATGGCCGCTTCTTCGGAGGCACTGAGGACCAGCTGTCCTGCTTTGCCACAACCATCTCCACGGCTGAGCTGTGGACTGTGCACCTGGCCATCCACCCACAGGCCCACCTGCTGAGCGTGAGCCGTAGGCGCTATGTGCACCTGTGCCCGCAGGAGGACGAGATGGCAGCGGACGGCGACATGCCCTGGGGGGTGGAGGCGCTGCTCACCCTCATCTTCCAGAGCCGGCGGTACTGCCTCAAGTCCAGCGACAGCCGCTACCTGCGCAGCGACGGCCGCCTGGTCAGGGAGCCCGAGGCCCAGGCCTGCTACACACTGGAGTTCAAGGCGGGCAAGCTGGCCTTCAAGGACTGTGATGGCCGCTACCTGGCACCCACGGGGCCTGCTGGCACTCTGAAGGCTGGACGCAATACGCGGCCCAGCAAGGATGAGCTCTTTGACCTGGAGGAGAGTCACCCGCAGGTGGTGCTGGTGGCCGCCAACCACCGCTACGTCTCTGTGCGGCAAGGTAGGCACAGCGGCTGGCCGCCCAGTGTGTGTCTGATGGGCTCCTGTGTGACTGGTGGACACTGGCATATGGCGGGGCAGGGGGCCTAGGCTAACAAGCAGCCCTTTATCCCGGGCAGCCGGAGACTGTCTTAGCAGTCGGGCAGCTGCTGACTCCAAGATTAGAGAGGTGTGGGCAGGGGGTGGGCCGTGCCCAGCCTGGGGCTGTGAGGATGGGTGGACAGGAGGCCACGGAGGCCCTGCCACTCCCCTTCTGCCCATCATCCCACTGTCTGAACTTTGAAGGAAACTGGGGAGGGGCCAGGGCAGGGCAAGAAGACAGCACAGTGTAGAGGGGCCGGCACCTCCGCAGGCCTGGCCAGGGGGAGCCTCGGCAGCCCCAGGAATGGGGTTCTGGTCACCTTCAGTGCTAGTGGGTACAGGGGCACACTGCCGTGCCCCAGGCCTGGCTCCTTGGTGGGACAGCCCATCTCCGCTCCAGTGGCTCCCCCATTTCCCAGCCCCTGGTCACCTATCTCATGTGACAGCCCCTAGCAGCCTGTGGGGTGAACACAGCAGTCCCCACTTCCTGCGAGGAAGCTAAGGGTCTCGGAATGGTACCATGCTGCTGAGAGCAAGGCCCTGGCCCGGGCCAGCCATCGATCGCCGTTGCTCCAACGTGGGCTCCCGCTCCACGCACCCCCGAGTGGCCGGGCATGCCCAGATCTGCGGCTCTGAGGTCAGGACAAGAGGTGAGATGGGGAGAGCTGCTTCTACCCACTCAGGTCCTTCCAGGCCAGCACTCCCCAGGCAAGGGCAGCTACCATGTGCCCATGGAGTCCCTACCCTGTGGATGTCAGCCTCCCTGGGCACCTGCCTTGCCTTAGGGCTTTGGGCACTGGCTGCCTGGCCCAGATGGCAGAAGTCAGCCATGCCCAGGGGGCTGGGGCTGCACTCAGAGCCCTCAGGCCAGTGAGAACATCAGTGGTCATTAGAGGCGCCTGGTCCTGGCATGTGGCCGGGTAAACACACAGTGATGGTCCTTCCTGCCTGCCTGTCCTTCATCAAGGCCCAGATGCTTGCAGGCCTTAATCAGCAATGTGAGTTACCTGGGAGCCGGGCGGAGGGGTGTCCTGTGGAGTCAACGGAGGTGCTGGGCACCAAGTGCTTGTGAGTGACGCTTGTGAAAGAGGCTCATGGGGGGTGACAACACTGGTGCTGATATTGATAGCATGGTATGGGGGTGGCAGTGATGTTAATGACAGTGTGGTGGTGAAGGTGAGTATGGTGGAGAAGATATGGAAGCTTGGTGAATGTGGAGGTGATGGTGGAGAGATAGTAGAGGTGGAGGTGTTGATGGTGATAATCATATGGAGGGATGGTGGAGGTGGAGTTGGTGGTGGTGGAGGTGCAGAAGAAATTGTGATGCTGGAGGGACGGTGGAGGTGATGGAGTGGTGGTGGTGGTGGAGGTGATGGTGATGGTATGGTGGTGATGGTGATGGTGATGGTGATGGTGATGGTGATGGTGATGGTGATGGTGAAGGTGATGGTGTGGTGGTGGTGGTGGAGGTGATGGTATAGTGGAGGAGATATGGAAGCTTGGTGAATGTGGAGGTGATGGTAGAGCGATAGTAGAGGTGGAGGTGTTGATGATGATAATCATATGGAGGGATGGTGGAGGTGGAATTGGTGGTGATGGTGGTGGTGGAGGTGCAGATGAAATTGTGATGCTAGAGAGATGGTGGAGGTGATGGTATGGTGTTGATGGTGATGGTGTGGTGATGGTGGTGGAGGTGATGGTATAGTGGAGGAGATATGGAAGCTTGGTGAATGTGGAGGTGATGGTAGAGAGATAGTAGAGGTGGAGGTGTTGATGGTGATAATCATATGGAGGGTTGGTGGAGGTGGAGTTGGTGGTGGTGGAGGTACAGATAAAATTGTGATGCTGGAGGGACGGTGGAGGTGATGGTGTGGTGGTGGAGGTGATGGTGTGGTGGTGGTGGTGGTGAAGGTGATGGTGATGGTGGTGGAGGTGATGGTGTGGTGGTGGAGGTGATGGTGTGGTGGTGGTGGTGGTGGAGGTGATGTGGTGGTGGTGGAGGTGATGGTGTGGTGGTGGTGGTGGTGGAGGTGATGGTG